TAGCATACACAAGTTGGTGAAACCAGTAGGCTAAATAAGCATATTACAAACAACCAAAAACTGCTATCAATTACATAAAACTAATTCTGGGATGATTGTGTGGAGAGAAATGTTTACCATTTGGATCCATTCTCTCATTAGGATCATGTCAGAGATACATCAATCTGTATTGTGAGGGCTAGTATCTTGCTGGGCAGGTGTATGGAGGTTTTGCATTCAAGCTAGGGGGGTTAGAAAGCACAGACCCTTTACAGTACATAATTATTGAATATCAAAACCACTGTAAGAGAAAAATAGACATCATAAGGAATCTGTTGATACTAAATATGCTGGATTTAAGCTACAGACCTATTTTAGAACTTTGCCAGGGTTTGTATGTAAACAAACCCAAGGACTAATGTACAGTTGCCATATACTGTGAGGTGAAGTAAAGAATGCAATACTAATTTGTAGAAAAGTAAAAGTGAATGTCATACAAGTGTTTGCTTTATAGGAAGATGTTTAATTTTTTTATAATCATTATCCCATACATGCCATGCATTCACTTTATGAAAGGGTTTTTTGTATCATTTCATTTTCTAAAATATTTCAATGACAATTTAATCATCATAACATTATAACATCAATAGCAATGGTATTAATAAGAAAAAGACATTTTCCCGCTAATTCAAGGAATGGGAAAATTAGGATCAGCAACTAGGGCCTACTGATAGACTCCTTGCCGGCTGAGCACATGTGGAGCCATCTGTATGTAACAAAATTCACCAAAAACTACAGGGGACAGAACACAAATCCAAGGTGAATGGTTTAATATATGAAGTATTTGTTAAACCAGAAGATTACAGTTGCAGGTATTATAATTTAGACATTTTCTAATAATTATCCAGAATAGGGGCAGTGTGGAGATTGAAAAATCTAAGTAATGGCAACAAAGGGTACATAATGCAACTTTTATGTATAAAAGACAATCATTGCATTGTAAAGACAGGCCAATAATCATTTACTAAGATCAAAGTGTTTGGATTCATGCATCTTGTTAGGCCATGATTTGAGTGTTTCATACTTTGGTAGCAAATTTTTGTCAAAGTTATTTTAGTGAGGAAGGGATTAATGATCTCCCTGAAAATTTAACATCAAAGGAATTAATCCAAGATCAGTCTTACTAAAGTATACAGTACTTAGTGAAATATTGCGGGCCCCTAGCATTACTTCTATAGATGTTATATTTATGTGTACTAAGTGAAGAAAAGTGAAATGTACATGTGAAGAAAATATTACAAATATCCCAGTACCAGAAGCTGTTGCTGTTGAATTTTAATTTATATACTGTGACAAATGTCAGCAGTAAAAGTAAACAGAAGAAAAAAAGCAGAAAAATTATATGGGAGAAACATTAGTGATATAATTCCTTTTTCCCTCCCTCTATGGGCTGCCTATGTTTTTTAAATGCATACTTTAGATCACAGTTGAAAAACTTCATTATAATCCTCTGCATGATTTTGCACATTCATCATATACACACTTTTTTTTTTCTTTCTTTCTTTATCATTTTGCACTTTTGATGTTGTATAGAATACATGTATTTTGATGAAATGCTTAAAAATGTTGCAGTTCTAGGCAACCTTAGCTTCTGCTCGGCCACACAGTTGTGATGACACCAGTGATCCTCTACTTTTAGAAGAGGCAACTTTCTGTTGCAAGGCACAAGAGGAAAGAAGTAGAAAGCAAGTAGAAAAAAGAAGAAATGGGGCTTGAGGACACAGCTGTAGCGCCTCTTGGAGCTCTCAAGAGATTGGCAACTCTCTCCTGTAGCTAATACCTAAAGGGAGGGGAAGAGGACTGGGAGCCTGAAACAGAAATAACTTTGTAACATTTAGCGAGACCTGCATGTTTTTCATAAGGATAAACTGTAAATACTTATCTGATATGGAAAAAGGACAGAAAAATTTTACATATCATTTCTTATCTATATAATGGTCTTGACTTCTCATAATATTTTCATACCCATAGAATCAATTATAACAATTTTCCCCTCCAAAAAGACATCTCTTCAAGTGCGAGGCAACCCACAGCTAATTTCTTGACATCATTCTTGAAGGTGCTCACTTCCCCAGGATATGCAAAACATAGCATGCTACCATTCCATAGCTCAGTTATGCAAAATGTAATTCAAATCAATTTTAATACAAGAAGACAGTAGAGCACTTCTCACTCCAGACAGTCCCTACATATCAGCTACCCCTTTGACTTACCACCAAATAGTATACAGAAACTGCTTGATGCTAGACACTAGTAAAACACCCATGGTATTGGTCTTCCACTCTTTCAGGCTTTCTCTCTCATAATTTTCTGTTTTCTCCTTTACTACTACAAGTTTTACTCTTTCAGACATTTTAAACTGATGGGTGATGTTGGTGAGGATGACTTGGAAGTTATACGCACAATTCTGGTGGAAGTACAGCTTGCACAGTTTTTCACCAGGATTCGTGATGATCTGCAG